CCCAAAAAACAACTTTCACATTTTACACACACACAACACAACTGGCTCACCCACAGTGTAAAAGCAGCTATGCTAGACCCAAAATGGCAACAAGCAGGAACCTCACACAGCCACAAAAAGCCAAAAAAAAAAGCAACTTTCACACTTTACACACACAAAATTCCACATACAGCTTTGTGAGATTTTTTGTGTTTGTGTAGTTAGATGAAACACTACAGAAACACACTAAATCTCAGAAAGCTGCACAAATATTATTTTATTTTATTTTATTTTTATATGAAAACTAAATTTAAAACTTCCTAAACTTTAAATGGCTAGGTCTAAAAAAGAACAACTAAAAAAAAAACCCAATTAACTATTTTTTTTAAAGCTCCCAAAGGGGAAAAAACTTACCCAATAGAACAGGGGTCTCCAACCTTAGCAACTTTAAGACTTGTAGACTGCAACTCCCAGAATTCCTCAGCCAGCTTTGTTTTGCTGGCTGAGGAATTCTGGGAGTTGAAGTCCACAACTCCCTGCCTGCTTGATTGCAGGCAGGGAGAGGCTTGCTGATGGAATGGATTCAGGCAAGCGAAGCAAGGCAGGCGTTGCGACTAGCAGCTAAGGTAAGCAAGCTGGAGGGGGAAAACTTTTTTTACAAAACTTTTATGTGGCTCTCAGCTGCGTTTCCTGATTAGCAGGCAAAGCTGGGATCGTGGCTCTGGCGATCCCAGCTGCGTTGCCTGATTAGCAGGCAAAGCTGGGATCGTGGCTTTGGCAATCCCAGCTGCATTGCCTGATTAGCAGGCAAAGCTGGGATCGTCAGAGCTTGGATCGCCAGAGCCATTTAAGGCTCGTCAAAGCCTTTCGGGCTGGTCTGCTTGGTTACAGGAGAACGACACCTGACGTATAAGACAACCCCCGACTTTTGAGAAGATTTTCATGTGTTAAAAAGTCGTCTTATACGCTGGAAAATACAGTAACTATTTTTGTATTTTAATCCAGTATTTTTTTTATTTCTGGGCAAAGCCACCATACATGAAAAAAGGTACTTTGTGCTTTTTTACATTTCCAGTAGTTAGGGTTTAGATTGGGATACATATTTGCAAGTCTTGTTGGGACTAACTTTGGTTTTTCTATGATATTGCAAATTTCACAATGTCCTAAATTTTAAATGTAGTCTACTATATGGTTGCCATTTGGGGAAAAATACAGAAAGTAAAATCTAAAGATTCCTTTAGGTTAGAGATCTTTTTCTGTGGTTCTTGGAATCCTGCCTACACTGCTTGAAATCAGTTTAATGCTGTAAAATATTTAACCTTTAGCACTGTGTTACTCTGTATGCTTCTAAATTTTAACAACTGTTTTAATACCTTAATACTTTCCATAGTTCCATACTTTAATACTTTCCACAAAAGTACATTCTTTGCTTTGCCCATGGTATTAAAATGCATTGGAATAATATCGGCTCAGAGATAGCTGTATGACTAGCTCTGCTTACATGAAACTTCAGAAAAAAGGAAGGAAGGAAGGAAGGAAGGAAGGAAGGAAGGAAGGAAGGAAGGAAGGATAATGAAAAGAAAAAAAAAACCTGGCAAAAAAGCAGAGAAAAAATGTGACAAAAAGTAATTTGATATCCAACTCTGTACCCAACTAAAAAGATAGCTGAATTATTTGTTGTAGATCTATTGGTTCTCTGTTGAATATATGACAAATAGTGGGAGGAAAATATAGTATAAGAATGAAGTTAATAGAGTTGAAAGAGACATTCAGTTCAATCTATGCTCAATATGCTCCAAACTCAAGCATCCCCCAACAAATGACTATTCATTTGTTATAGCTAAAGTCAACCATCACTATTTTATGTAATTAATGCCATTGTCATATTGTTTTTATTTTCAGAAGCTGCTTTCTACTTGAAATGACATGCTCTAGATCCCTTGCAAGTAATCTTCTTGTATCTCTCTAGTTCCCTTTTAAAGCTGAGGGTACTATTTCCTGACTTCAAGCACTTAAAATGGTTTTCAAGGATTTATTTCTCAAAATATCTAAAAGATAATACATAAAGATTTAGGCAGTACTTTAGTTCTTAATCAGTACTTTTGATACAGCATATCTGGCTGTAGAGTAAATAGCTGTTCTTTAATCTTATTTCTGTCAGTTTCAACCTTCAACCTAGGCCCTTAAGTCTGTTTCTCACAGAACACGTATGGTGGAACACATATGGTCTTTTCAGAATGCGTCAAAACAAGAATTAAGGAGCTGTATTTTTTCAGTGTTTCCTGTTAGCATCTCACTGTCTACATTCTTTTTATTTTGAAATGTTTGGGGTGGGGGGGACTTAAATGTTGTGAACATTCTTTGTAATCTCATCTCATTTTTGACCTTAGTCTTCCTGACATTTCTTCTGTTCTGGGATATTTGTACATTTATTTTTATTTATTATCTCTTTTGTTTTCCAGGTCCTTTACATGGCCTTTATTTTGTTGTCAGATCTTCACTAAGTTTTTAGTGCAATGACTTTGGATTCTTTTGTCTTTTATTTTTTTGTCTTCATTGAAATTGCTTGTAGTTGTACTTTTTAAAAATAAAACCTTGCTCTTACATTGAATCTTTCTCCCAGTAGGCTGCGGAATTTATTTAAAATACAGATTTCCTAATGCATTTAAACCTCATTCAGCATTAATTTTATTAAAATAAAATATTTGAGGACTTTATTGTCACTTTCTCTAATGTTCTAACTAAATATTTTCCATTGGTTGGTATAAAGTCAAAATTTGCTTAATTTCTTGTTCCTTCCTCTAGCTCTAAGAGAGAATGTTGTCAGCAAGAATGTTTCTTGGAAACATGAAGGTATTATGTCAAGTTAGTTATATTCACTGTCATGGCTATATTTAAGTTCTGTTCTTTATTTTTAGAAAACAGCTCCACATGGAGAAGAAATAGTAATAAACCAATAAAAACATTGTTTTTATTTTTCCCTACTTATTTTAACTGAAAAGCCACTTACAGCATTGCCAAATTTATTTGTTTAGTTTTGTTATTACTATTTTCAACATGCACTAACATTCTTTCTCTCTTTCTTTTGCTCCTATTTTCAATTTCTGTATCCAACCAAATTCTGATTATATCTAGGAAATCATATTTGTCTTTCTGTACTAAGAACTGAAGTTTGTCTTTGCTGTCATTGGGGTGTACTGTGTTTCCCAGAAAATAAGACCCTGTCTTATATTTTTTTGAACCCTGAAGTAAGTGCTTGGCCTTATTGCCATGTGCTCAAAAGCCCGAATGTGCTTATTAGCAGGGGATGTCTTATTTTGGGGAAAACGATATAGGTAATACAGAACATGCATCTTTTAAGCCAATATTATTTATTGATTTGTTAATCAAGTCAAGTTACTTAGATTCATTTACAGTAATATTTCCATCTTATCCTGTAGTGCTGAAGATTGAATGTAGGTATCTATGTAAAAGGAATTTACTTCGTGGTTTTCATTTTTGTCATCTTTTGGGATGGAGGCAGCATGCCTTCTTTGTCATGGCCCTTGCCCTCTGGAATAGCATCCCTCAAAGATATGGATGATGTCCACTTTCCTGGGATTTCCCAAATAAATAATAAGACACATACATACGTTTCAGTTTAAAGCTCTTCTGATCAAACACTCTATGCTTCAGTGACCACATTTTACAATCTTGTGAATTGCAACGCATCTTGTGCCCTTTAATAATATATAATCTCACTCCAAATCTCAGAAATCTCACAGATCTCACTTGTCTATATCATTTGCAAGAGAGCATCTCTATAGTACTAGTCTTGTTCTTCCTGCTCTTCTATCATAGTAATAACAGATGAAAAGTACCATCTGAGACACTAAGTTATATGGACTAACAAAAAGGGATAATTGTCAGTGGCATGATAAGTCTTAGAATTTAATACATTTAATCAATCATTTTGATTATCATACCTTTATTTCTGTTTATAATAATGAGTCAGCTAGTAACATTATTTTCTAAGTCCTCTTGCAGGGGCGTTTCTGCCTTTAGGAAACAACTTTGTGTCTTCTGTTCAGCAATGCCTCTTTTCTTTCCATGAAGGCTGAGGCTCTTTTTTTTCTCTGAGGGTTTCAAATTCCACTGAATTCCAGTGGCACAGAATATGGTCTTTAGGTCTTGTTTGTAATTGTCACTCTTGTTTGTTGGGTTTGTTTCATTTTAATATTCTTTCTTAGGGAGAATCATTTCATTTCTCAGCAATTTTGCAGTATCCCATTTATTTGAGCTAAGACATTTTCATCCTTTCTTATGAAATGAAGTGTGGACAGTTACTACTCTATTTTTTTAAAAAAAAATTTTTTGCAAATACCTCCATAAACTTGCCATTGTTACAGAAAAATACCAGGTAATTTAAGTTCAGAACACAAAGCATTGAAAGCATTGTAGTCCACAACTATAGAGCCATGCATATTTATTTTCTATTTCTTAAGCCACTGTGAAAAAGATTTTTATTCCATTCTCAAACTGTTAAATTAGTTGAGTGCATGTTAACTTTAACAAGTACATTTATTAGGAAGTGCCCTTTAAATTCTGTTACCAAATTGCTAGCTCTCCCTTTTTATTCATCCAGTTTGTTCAGTTCCTGGAAACTGGCTGTCTTTATTACTTTTATTACTTTTAGGGTATCTGCAAAAGTCTCTGCTTACCCAATCGCTCTATGTCTTAAAATGGACAATCAGCACAGAATATATTGTCAAGCCTATTAATTTTTCTATCTTCTCTTAGTCTAATGGAGAAGGGTGAGCACGAAAATTACAAAGGTAAGGGTTATTTAGGACCAAAGTAATTGAAATTGATATATCATTCCCATATAACATTACACAACAGTGAAATAAAAGGATTGAACAATAAAATTGGTCAACTATAATATGATTATAAAGATAAATTAAATGCAAACACAAGTTAAGTATGAGTCCCCTTAATACCTTTTCTAATGTAACTAAAGTATTTACATTTTTTATTGATAGGACTCTCTTATTCTTGAAAAATCTCAAAATTGGAGCTCCCAGAAAATGGACCATATTATGATTTGTTGCGTTTGCCTTGGAGATAATAGTGAAGACGCTGATGAAATAATTCAGTGTGACAATTGTGGAATAACAGTACATGAAGGTAATTCTATCATGTCTTCAATTTACTGTGAGTAATGAAGCATTACTATTCTTTTAATAGTATTGAGCGAATTTATTTATGAGTCGGTTAAATAAATGGATTTTATAATTGTCTAATAATGTAATTAACAGAACTCATGGGTATGTATATCCTTATGAATAGTGTATTAAAATAATATTGCTAAAGTTTATGATATAGGGCTAATATCTTGAGGTTTGAAAAGAAGTGGTTTGTTTTAATCCAGATGATAAGTGTTTCTTTAATTGATTGTTTCCAGCTTCTTTATATACAGAAATGGACTAATCAGAAATTCATGCATTTCCAACTGATTATTGGTCATATTGATTGGTGTGTAATACAGGTTGTTCTAGCTTAATACCAACTTATTCAGCAATCATTTGAAGTTTCAGAAGGACTGAATACAATGTTTCGTGGCTGCTTCTTGTGATTACAGCCTTCACAGTATCCCCACAGTCATAAGATTACAATTCTGGCATTTGGCAACCAGTTCACAATTATGATCACAGTGTCCAATGATCATGTGATCTCCATTTGTAACCTGCAATTCTGCCTTCCAACAAACAAAATCAATGAAGAGGTCACAAATGGTGATGATGTAATGTTGCGTTTAATGACTATGTAAGATTCACTTAACAACAGCAACTGGAACTGGTGCTAATGCCAACGTAAGTTGGTGCAGTCATTTCATGTTACAACCATGTTGCTTAGTGATAGCATTGCCAGTCCCAGTTACTGTTGATAAATAACTATACTTGTATTCTGTATGCTTCTTTTCACCCCAACTTTTTGAGTTTTGAATAGAAATAAAAAAAATTAATCAGGAACCTTTGTTTCAGAAAAACAAGTTTTGTTGAGGTTAAATGTTATTAAATAAGTATTAAATGTTACTACTAGGTATACTAGTGTTTCAGTTGAGGAACTCTGCTTTGCAGTTATGTATTCTTACTGAAATTAATGAAAAGATACCATAAAATGCCATGAAATTCCATCAGAATGATTCGTTGAGAAGAAACACAATACTCCTGTTGTATACATATTTAATTGCATTGAATATAGTTGAAACTAAGATTTAACTATTTAATCCAATTTCAAATATATTATTTTGATAATATGAAATCATAAACTACACTTGAAATAAGATTCATTTAAATAGATTAGGAGATATTTCTTTAGGACCATAAATAGGCATGATAAGAAAGTGGCAACTAAGTTATAGTCTAAAAATCCTGGTTTCTCCTTTATGCAAAACATAATTAGCCCAACATTCCATCCTTTCATAGCCCCAGCTACATAATAATTCCTAACTTTTGGAGTTAGCAGTAGACCTGGGGCAATGCCTAATAGTACTGATTTCTGATGCTGGTTTATTCTCCAATATCATTTATAGTTTACTCCAACAGTTATAAATTAAATTATTAATAATAGAAAAATAAGCACAGAAGATGGAAAGCATGTCTTATATTAAAAGCCTCTTCATATAATAGGCTGGGAATAGTTTCTGCAATATATAGATTCTTGTTTTTTTCATAATAGAGCTTTTTTCTTATTAGATCTCAATGTGAAAAAAATACTGTTTGGCTAACAATATATTAATAGGGCTTTTAGAAAGTATTGCTCAGTCCTAGAGAAGAAATGAAATTATTTTAAAGTGCTTTTTTATAAATGTTCTTTTGTAAAATTCCATTTTTAAAAGTGAAATTCCATAAATGTTTTTATGGCTGTCTTTAAACAAAAATCCACCAAGGTAAATTGTGTCACTGGAACAGAGCATCTCCACCTGCATCCATTTTCCTACCCGGTACTTGTTGCATCTTGTCTTAGAGATGTAACTGATTCATTTTTTATATATATAGTGAGCTCCCATTATTTGTCCCAGCTTCTGCCAAACTAGCAGTTCGAAAGCACGTAAAAGATGCAAGTAGAAAAATAGGGACCACCTTTGGTGGGAAGGTAACAGCCTTCCATGCACCTTTGCCATTTAGTCATCCCGGCCACATAACCACAGACAGCGCTGGCTCTTCGGCTTTGAAACGTAGATGAGCACTGCCCCCTAGCGTCGGGAACGACTAGCACATATGTGTGAGGGGAATCTTTACCTTTATATGTATATGTATATATTTACACTTTGTTTACTGTAATATTGTTATTTACATACTGTAAAATACCCTGAATATTAATTTATTTTGCAAGCATTATTCAAAAATCATCCTCGTTCCTATTATTATAAAACTTCTTTTCCTTTTTCTTCTTTCTTCTCGCTATTTACTGCTACATTGTTATTAAGCGGTGCTTAATATGCTACTTAACCATTCTTATAATGGCTTGAAATACTCCTTGTTTTAAAATATTGTTTATCCTGGGTTTTTTTTCTGTTGATAGGTAATTATACAATACAATCAAATATACAAGTCAACCTGAGTGTTTTCTTTTCCTTGGAATCAGCATAATTAGAAAACTTAAAAGGGTATAGGGCCGTGATGGGAACCTGTAACCATATCAGTGGGCATGCCAGCTCAGCTCTGGAGTACATGCATGCACCGGCCAGCTGATTTTCGGACCTTCTGGGCCCACAAGAAGTAGGGAAACAGGCTATTTCCTGCCTCCAGAGGGCCTGGGGTGGGGTGGGGAAGGCCTGTTCTCCCAGAAGGCTGCGGAGTGGGTCAGGAGTGGGTCAGGAGTGGGATGATCTCTTGGTCTGGCCAGTCACTGAGTCGAATTGCTTTGGCCACGCCTCCTCGTGCCTCCATCGCCTCCAGTTTTATTCGACTCAGTGATCTGACCAGACGGTTTTACTGAGTTCTCCACTCCTGACTTTGATCAGGGTTAATTCTCCTCATTTCTACTCTACTCTACAATTCTACTTTTCACTCTCTTCTGCGCTGTGCGAGCTGGCTACTTCAGTCTAAGGCTGAAAATGCTGCCGCCGCGCCACCACCGCTGCTGCCACCGCTCTACAGCTGATTGGCACTAGCGCTCCCGGTGCTTCGCCGCCTCCGGAATGTGCAAATTCTTCACCTTCCAAAGATCAACAAATAGGGGACCCCTTTGCTTGTACAATTAACCCGCAAGACCCTTCACCTCCACAGAGTTCTAACCACTTGAATTTACAGGATCTACCTGAGGCAGTTCAACACTTAATTGCCAAGGCCATCTCCCATGCATTGCAACAAGCATCCAGGAACACCGGTCATCATCCGTGGTCTTGGAAAGCCTTCATTCTCGTCGCACCCGAGTCTCTCCTTCAGCCAGCCTCACCAGCTCCCCTGACAGGTCTCCAAGTTCCAGGTGCAGTACTGATCTCGGCCTGGAGGACGAGCCACTTAAAGACACTGAACTCTCAGATGACGAAGGTGCACCTCCGGACGTCCCGGCCTTCATGGGCCTCTTCCCTCAAGGATTGTTCAAGTCGCTTTTGCACAAGGCGAAGGTCACCTCAGGCCTTGTAGATCCTGCTACTACTACTTCTGCCTCAACTTCAACCGGACATGGTATCTTCTCGGAACCAGTTGCCAAGCAGCTTTTCTTTCCAGCATCCAAATTATTTACTGACGTGGTCTGCAAACAATGGTCCAACCCAGCGGCTCTTCCAACTCCCAGTGGTACTGACCGTCATAATTATAATATGGAACCCACACTTGCTACCATTCTGCAGGTTCCTTCAGTGGATGGCCCAGTGGTTGCTCTTTCTTCCCCTTCCCCCTATCTCAGACACCTCTGATGGCCTGAAGCCTGAGGACAGGAAATTTGACCTGTCTTTCAAGAAAATGCACCAGGCATCAGCATGGGCGATTCAAGCTGCTACTTCGGCCTCTTTTTTCATCCGTTCATTACTCTTATGTCTACAACAGCTACAGTCTCGCTTACCTGCCCAGGAGGTCTGGGTTCACCAGGACCTCAACAAAATAATTGCAGCCACCCAATTTGTCTCTGATGCCACGCTCAACGCAGCTAAGTACACCTCTCGGGCGATGGCATCATCAGTCACCTCGCGATGCTTATTGTGGCTGCGCCAATGGCCAGCCGATTTAAAAGCCAAATGGCGTCTTGCTTCTGCCCCATACACGGGCTCTAAATTATTTGGTGACTCTCTCGAACCTTTATTGGTCGAGGACAAAGATAGGAAGAAAGTTTTACCTTCTGCCACTAAGAGGGCAGATCACCGGGCAACTCCCTACTACCATAGGCAGCCTTCCCGTTTTTCCCCTCAGGAGAGCACTAGCCAACATCCTTATTCTCAGGGATCCTTTCACCAGCAGGACAGGGGTTCCTTTCGGGACAAGCCTAAGTCATACGGCCCTTCCAAGCGGTCCTTTCGTGGAACTGGCGGCCATCAGTTCCATCATCAGAAATGACTCCCTTCTCAGGTTGAGCCTCTTTGTAGACAGGTGGGCCCGTATTACAACGGACCAATGGGCTCTTCACACCATTGAATTCAGACTTCCATTGGAATTCCTTTCCAGCTCCCCGAACCACTTCGTGCCATGCCCTGTCTCCAGTTCACATCGCAAGCGCACACTCATGGAGCTTGCCATACAACATCTATTAGACATCAAAGCGGTGGAGGAGGTTCCTCCAGACCAATGGAGACAGGAATTTTACTCAATCCTTTTTGTGGTACCGAAACGCTCTGGGGGCTGGAGAGCGATACTCAACTTAAAATCATTGAATACCCATCTTGTCTACAGGAGGTTCAAAATGAACACTCTGAAGTCCATTCTGGAGGGGATCAGGCCTGGAGACTTTCTAGCCTCTATCGACCTCTCCGAGGCCTATTTACACATCCCTATCTTGCCGGCCCACTGGCATTACCTCAGATTCAGCTATGCAGGGCGGCACCTTCAATATCGCGCCCTCCCATTCGGCCTGACATCGGCCCCGCGCAGTTTTACAAAGGTTCTAGCGGCCCTAGTGGCACATCTACGGTCCGTCCCAGTACAGCTTCAAGCCTACCTGGACGATATCTTAGTTCAGGCCGATCTTCAACTGACCTTGCAAGTCCTACAAGAACATGGGTTCGTAGTCAACCTAGCCAAGAGTCAACTAGAACCCCAAACCCGTTTGACACATCTCGGGGTGATAATCGACACCAAGGCTGGACAGGTGTTCCTCTCTCAAGAGAGAAAAGACAATCTCAGACTTCTCATCCGCTCAATCCTACTGGAACCGACAGTGTCCAAACTCACCCTATTGACACTGTTATGAAAACTGGCATCGTGCATAAACATCGTGCCTTGGGCCTGTCTCCATGCGCGCAGTCTCCAATGGTTTGTGCTACCACACCAAAGTGCCAGGACTGCTGCCTCCCGGACCAAGGTTCGGGTCCCTCTGTCAGTTCATCGGTCGCTGCATTGGTGGCTCTTCCCAGCCCTGGACAAGGGCTGTGTATTCACATACAGTCCACCAATCGTAATCACGATGGATGCCAGCCTACACGGATGGGGAGCACACTTGAGAAGGCAAGTTGCTCAGGGTCGTTGGTCACAATGCGAGTCACAATCCAGCATCAATTTGCTGGAACTCTGTGCAATCCACCTGGCCCTTCTGTCCTTCCAACATGCGATTCAGGGACAACAAATCTTAATACTCACCAACAACGCAGCGGTGAAAGCCCACGTAAATCGCCAGGGAGGGATGAGTTCCAAGACATTGATGCAGAAAGCTCTCGTGCTTGGAAGGTGGGCGGAGGCTCACCTCATCTCCATACGGGCAGATCACATCGCCGGCAAGGACAACCTCCAGGCGGACTTCCTCAGTCGGACCATGGTGGAACCATCAGAGTGGCGTTTCCACTCCGATCTCTTCCAAGACATTTGCCTCCGATTCGGACATCCACAAGTGGATCTGTTCGCCTCATCTGCGAACGCTTATCTTCCATGCTTTATCACTCGCTACCCATCTCCGGGAGCGTAAAACATGGATGCCCTCAGTTGCCCCTGGCCACTGGGGCTCCTTTATGCCTTCCAGCCCCTGGCATTAATCCCATGAATGATACGCAAGATAATACTGGAGGAATCAGGTCGTTCTCGTTGCCCCTCATTGGCCAAGGAGGCCTTGGTTCTCGGATCTAGTGGCTCTCTCCATAGCACATCCTTGGCGAATCCCTCCAGAGAGGGTGTCTCTCAGCCAGGGAGCGATCAACCACCCAGAGCCCCAGTGGCTCAATCTGACCGCCTGGCTATTGAGGGGCTCCTCCTGAGGGGGCGCTTTACTCCGAGGATGTCATTTGCATCATGCAGGCGGACAGAAAGTAGTCGACCATCAGACTTTACAACATCACCTGGAAGGTATTTATCTCTTGGTGCTCTGCGCGTGAGATTAATCCCCTTTCAGTTTCTGTTCTGCAGGTCCTGGAGTTCCTCCACGATGGTTTCCGTAAAGGACTGGCACTCAACACCCTCAAACGCCATATTGCTGCACTCTCCACAGTACTGTCCCCTAGGGAGGGAGTTCCACTGTCTCGTCATCCATCCATTCACAGATTTTTACGGGGGGGTTGGAATCTTCGTCCCTCCGTAGTCCACCGGTATCCCACCTGGGACTTGCCACGGATTCTAAAGGCCCTCAGAGAACCACCATTCGAGCCTCTACATACTTTGAGCCTCAGGCACCTTTCTCTGAAGATTGCCTTCTTGGTGGCCATTACGTCGGCCTGCCACATCTCAGAACTGATGGCCCTATCCATTCGGCCTGACCTCTGTGTCATTCACATGGACAGAGTTGTCCTCCGCTTGGACAACTCTGTCCAACTCCGTCCTTTGTTCCAAAAACTAATTCCTGATTCCATCGGGAACAGGAGGTCATTTTTCCCAATATCTGTTCCATACCAACCCACCCACTGGAGTGCAAATGGCACACTCTGGATGTCCGCAGAGCTATTAAAATCTACATTTCGCGGATGGCACCTTCAAGGCGCACCGAGGCATTACTCGTATCATTTCAACCTGCCTCGTTGGGATCTAAAGTATCCTCGGCCACCATTGGCCGCTGGATCCGGGCTTGTATTGCCCGGGCGTATGAAGCACAGTCCACCCCCCCCCTCGGAGAAGGGTCACTGCTCATTCAACTCACAGTGAAGCTACCACCGCTGCTTGGGCCACGCAGGCCTCCCTCAAGGAAATTTGCTGGGCAGCTACCTGGACTACTCCTGTTCCCTTTATTAAGCACTATCGTTTGGACGTCTTTGCTTCAGCGGAGGCCGCTTTCGGCAGTTGGGTCCTCCAACAGGTACACCTGGCCTCGAGGCCTCCTAGTTCGCAGGCTTCCCACCCATAGGGCTGACAAGCTTGGGTATGTCCCACTCCTGACCCACTCCACAGCCTTCTGGGAGAAGAGGCATTGGACTTACCGTGAACACTGTTACTCCGGGGGCTGCGGAGTGGGTCAGCCCCCCCGCCTGCGCTTCCTTCACGACTTCTTGCTAACTATTGGCAGAGGCTGTCTTTTAGATCTGGATTCATCGAACAAAACTGGAGGCGACGGAGGCACGAGGAGGCGTGGCCAAAGCAATTCGACACAGTGACTGGCCAGACCAAGAGATCATCCCACTCCTGATCCACTCCACAGCCTCTGGAAAAATGGCGTTCATGGTAAGTCCAACGCCTCTTTTCTTTCTCACCTGGCTCCAGATCCTTTCTCTGAGTCTAGGGAGGGCAAAAACAGCCATTTCCACTCCCTCGGAGGCCCTCCAGACGCCTGAATGGACCCATTTCCCAACTCCCGGACAGGAAGTGACGTTTTTTGCTGTCGCCAGCCTCTGGATGCTGGGGACATCAAAAAAGTTACTTCCTGTCCAACTGGGAGTTGGGAAATGGGCCCTTTCAGGCCTCCGAGGGAGTGGGAAAGGCTGTTTTCGCCTTCCCCAGATGCACAGAGCCAGGTGAGAAAGCCAGGATCTAGAGCCAGGTGAGAAAGAAAAACAGGCCATCGCATGCCGGAAGCAGGGGGAAGGGGATTTGCGTGCGCATGTGCAGGGCGGGGTGCATAGAATTATGGGTATGGGCACGCGAACCTGCCCCCCCCCCTTCCTGGCACGCGATGGCAAAAGGGTTAACCATCACTAGTATAGGAGCTTCTGCAGACATTAAAAATGTTTCCTTTTTTGTTTGTTTTCTTATAAACTATAAAATATAGACTTTTCCCACTAGAAATCTGAATTCTATGTCGTTGTGACATGTATTACTTACTTTATATAAGGGCTCGGGACAGGGGACATTCCTCTGTTCTGGTCCTCTTGGATTTTTCGGCGGCGTTTGATACCATCGACCATGGTATCTTGCTGCGACGGCTCGAGGGATTGGGAGTGGGAGGTACCGTTCTACAGTGGTTCTCCTCCTATCTCTTGGGCCGTACACAAGCGGTGTTGGCAGGGGGCAGAGGTTGATTATGAGGCCCCTCACTTGTGGGGTGCCCCAGGGGTTGGTTCTCTTGCCTCTCCTGTTCAACATCTATATGAAGCCGCTTGGGAAGATTTGGGGTGGTTTTGGGGTGCAGTATCATCAGTATGCTGATGATACCCAGCTTTTTGTACCCCAAACCAGCCCAGTGATGCCCTTGACGTGATGTCCCATTGCCTGGAAGTGATACGGAGCTGGATGGGGAGGAACAGGCTTCGACTCAACCCTGCCAAGACCGATGGCTGTGGGTACCGGCATCTTGTTCCGATCGAGATGTTCCATCGTTGACCATCGGGGGGTGAGGTGTTACCCCCTGTGGATAGGGCCCGCAACCTGGGAGTCCTCCTGGATTCACGGTTGTCTCTGGGAGACCATGTGACGACTGTGACCAGGGGGGCATTTGCCCAGGTTCGCCTTGTGCGACAGTTGCACCCTTACTTGAACCAAGATGCCCTACGCACTGTTACTCATGCGCTGGTCATCTCCTGTCTTGACTACTGCAACGCTCTCTACCTAGGGCTGACCTTGAAGACCACTCGAAGGCTTCAGCTGGTGCAAAATGTGGCCGCGCTGGTTGTGATGGGAGCGTCCCAACACTCCCATGTTACACCCCTCCTGCACGGCTTGCATTGGTTACCGGTTGCCCTTCGGGTGAGGTTCAAGGTACTGGTTATCACCTATAAAGCCCTTCATGGCCTAGGCCCGGGATGCCTGTCGGAACCCGTGCAGCCAGCAACAATCCCCAATCTCCCAGTGCCTTCCCACAGACAGGGCTTCCTCAGGGTGCCGTCGGCCACACAGTGTCGGCTGGCAACCCCCAGGGGGAGAGCTTTCTCTGTGGGCACACCCACCCTCTGGAACCCAGTTCCGTTGGAGCTCCGGATGGCCCCTGACCTTCGCTCGTTCCACCACGAGTTGAAGACCTGGTTGTTGCATAGCCTGGACTGATGGGGTGGGGGGTGTTAATGAATTTTAAACTGTTTTAAACTGGGTTTTAACTATATCATTTTAATAGGAATTATGCATTTTACTGTTGTGAGCCGCCCTGAGTCCTCGGAGATAGGGCGGCATATAAATTGCATAAAATAAATAAATAAATTATACACACACACACACACACACACACACACACACACACACACATACACATTGCCTCCTTTATTATGTATAAAATCAATATAATCAGAATCCATAGTAAACATGTCCTCCTGTTCCTTGTTTTTTCTGCTTCTTAAATTTAGAGCTTGACCACTTGATAATACCTTTCTTTCTTCAATATCTGTATGTTTCTCTTGTTTGCAGGTTGTTATGGTGTTGATGGTGAAAGTGATTCCATTATGAGCTCTGCTTCAGAAAATTCCACTGAACCATGGTTTTGTGATGCTTGCAAATGCGGTGTCTCTCCAAGCTGTGAACTTTGTCCCAATCAAGATGGAATCTTCAAGGAGACAGATGCTGGCAGGTTAGTTGCAATAAAATATAAATAGGTCTCTGAAAATTACCTTTGCTTTTTGTGCTTTTATTAATAAGTTGATTTAATATATGCAAAGAAGTGAAAAAATATACAAATAAGACAAACATTAAACAGAAAGAAACAAAAACAGAAGCATATTTTAAAAGCTCAGTTTTGAAACATACATTAAAATTTGAGTACAAAGAGTAATATTTTCATTGCATTAATATCCTGCCATTCTTCTGTGCGCTGCTTGGAGAGTCCAAGCAATGGGTTCATGTTTAGTTTGGTTGGCCAGAGACTGAGTTGAATTTGCTTAGCCACGCCTCTTTCTCCCATGAGCCTTCAATGTTTCAACTCCGTCGGCCTAAAGAGACTTGGTTTTTTTCTTTCCATTGCTCGGACTTCTAAATTAATTCAAATAGCCACTGAAGAATTTCTCTTTCTCTCCATTTAACTCATTATCCTTCTTACCACTCCTAAAGATATTCCCAGCGCCACGTGACGACCGCCAGCCACTCTGTAGAGCTAATTAGCTCCAGAGATAGCCTTTCCTCCCAAGTTGATCGCCATTGCCGCCAATTCAAGTGCAGAGGCGGTGCTTTATTCTACATTCAATTTTGGCTCCGTTTTGAGCAGAGAAGTGGCGGGAAGCAGCGAACGGCTGCACAGAGGCTCCGGAGGACCATTTCAGCTTCCTTTTCATCAGAACGACGAGAAGAGAGCCACGTGAGTTTGGCGATCGGCCCTAGCGATTTAAAACCGCCTTGCTATTTTAACGTTTGAACTTGGCTTGTGGCTTGGGGACTGTAGTGTCTGTCCCGCGCCATTTTGATTACTGCTGATTCATTGTGATTGTGTATGGGCTGTTCTGATCAGTCTCGCACCTAATTATTACAGCAGTTGCAATTGCGCTTACAAACTGTAGTGTCGGTTTGGCGCCTTATTTGCTAATATTGAACTGAAGAGAAATATTTAATTCTATTACCTACAGTTAAGAATCTCCTGTAATTGAGTTATTTCTTCATTCCAAGATGGTGGATCGCAGCTCTGCTCACTCCAAAGATACTGCAGCCTCATTTTCTGTTTCTAGAAAACCTGTGTCTTCTGATCAAAGTAAGGCAATTGGGGCACAGTTTGGGCCTTCCACTAGATCCAAGGCCTCTACTTCCACAGCGGCTTATCAGGATGCAGAGAGAAGGCAAAAAGCCTTCGAAAAACAATTTGCCAAGGCTAAAATGCAGGCAGAAGCTTCTGCAGGCCCAGTCCTCCACACAGACCATTCAGAAGCTAATACTTCTATGGCTCAAGGATTGTCCTCTTCTGTATCACCTGAAGATAGATTAACTTGGTCTCCAGATCCTACCCCAGATCCTCCTGCTGAATTGATAGATTATACTGAGGAGATTATTCCCTTATCTAGGCAGGGCTCCTCTGAGCAAATGGTCACCTCAGACCCTAGGAAGTCAGCTCCTTCGGCCGCTACAGTGGCGGGGCTCCGCCCTGAGGAGAATCAAAACCCTGTTCTTTCTCAGGAGCTCTGCCAAATTCTTGCTCAGACCAATGCCCAGGGCATTGATTCTGCCCTGCTTAGGAGGGGCATTCTTGCACCCGCTTCCGCTGGCACCATACCCTAGGGTCAGGCAGACAGGGTTTATTCCCAGGCCCCTCATTCACCCCAAGCGTATCAGGGCAGTGAATTGTCTTAACTGGGGAGGAGGAAGAATTTGCAGAACACGAGCTTTCTGAAGATGAAGATAGATCTCCTGACACGCCGGCCTTCAGTGGCCTGTTCAATCCCAACATGTTTAACACCTTGTTGTACAAGGCCAAGACCACTGCCAACTTAGGGGTTACAGCTGGAGCATCTAATCGATCGGCTGAGCAGGATCCCCACGCCCGTTTATTCACTGAGCCAGTCACCACTCAAGACGTGATTCCTTCTCCCAAATTATTTGTAGTCATTATCCGGAAACAGTGGACTCAGGCTGGATCCTTGTCTAATCCCAGCGGATTAGACAAAAAGATGTACACTGTAGAACAGGAGGTGACAGACATGCTTAAATTACCAGCAATAGATGCCCCCTTTGCCAATCTGGCCTCTCCCAACATTCTCCCCTCAGAATCAGCAGAAGGGCTGAAAACCGAGGATAGAGAGGCTGAGATGTCAGTTTGTAAGACACATCAAGCAGCTGCCTGGGCAATTAGATCAGCCACAGCAGCTTCTTTCTTTAATAGAACATCTCTCCTTTGGCTGCGCCAGATGCAAGCATGGGCTCCTCCAGGGGATGTCAGATTACATCAAGACATCAACAAATTGATAGCTGCAGCAGAATATTCTGCTGATGCAACACTCAACGCAGCGAAATTCGCTTCCAGAGCGTTGGCGTCCAATGTTACCTCCAGATGCTTGCTATGGCTTCGCCATTGGCAGGCCGATATGAAATCCAAATGGAAGTTGGCGTCTGCTCCCTTTCAGGGCAGCAATCTCTTTGGTGAGGTTCTAGACCCCATATTGGTAGAGACCAAAGATAAATGGAAGATGCTCCCACTGCCTCACAAGAGGACGGACAGGAGATACTCCCCCTTTTATCACAGGCAGTCCTTTCGTGGATCTGAGGGCGGTTACTCCGCCCCAACCTACCAGAGGACATATCCCCCCTCCTCTGATTGCTCCCAGGATAGGGCCCCATTCAGAGATAGGTCCAGACAGCCCCAGTTTAAGAGGCCCTTTCAAGGAGCCAGCAGTAGACCCTACTGGAGGTCCAAGTGACTCCCAGTTAGAGGTTCCCATCGGAGGCTGCCTCATGAGGTTCGCCGCCCAATGGGAACTTATCACAACCGATGCCTGGGCTCTGCAAACTGTCAGGCTCGGTCTCACCTTGGAATTTTCTTCCATTCCACCAAGGAGGTTTATTTCTTACACACTGCCCAGAGACGCCACCAAGAGGTCTCTGATGGAAGCCGAGATCCACCTCCTGCTGTCCATACAGGCTATAGAACCTGTCCCTGTCCAGCAGAGGGGTCTCGGCTTCTTGTTTGTTTGTTTGTTTGTTTTATTAGATTTATATACCGCCCTACTTCCGAAGGACTCAGGATGGTGAACAGACACAAAATAAAATACATAGATACAAAAGTTAAAAAACATAATTAAAACCAGATTAAATAATTTAGCCCGAGACAATTAAAAATCGCAATAATTTAAAACAGATTAAAATTTTGATTTAAAAGAATTTTAAAACGGGAGAAAATTAGGCCAGGCCGGCTTGCTGGAATAGGAGAGTCTTAAGAGTACGGCAGAAGTGCGCAGATCTGGGATCCTCCATATCTCTGGGAGGAGCTCGTTCCAGATAGTGGGTGCCCCCACAGAGAAGGCCCTCCCCCTGGGGGCCGCCAGTCGACATTGTTTAGCTGATGGCACCCGGAGGAGCCCCTCTCTATAAGAATGTACCGGCCGGTGGGAGGCTGCTTGTGGTAGTAGGCGGTCCCGTAAATAACCAGGTCCTAAGCCATGGAGCGCTCTAAAGGTGGTGACCAAAAACTTGAAGCGCACCCGGAAGACCACCGGGAGCCAGTGCAGCTCACGCAGCAGAGGTGTCACACCGGAGCGCCATGTTGATCCCGCGCGGCCGCACTCTGCGTCAGTTGGAGCCTCCGGGTGTTCCTCAAGGGGAGACCCATGTAGAGAGCATTACAGTAGTCCAGGCGAGAAGTGACGAGGGCATGAGTGACTATGTGTATGGAGCCCCGATCCAGAAAGGGATGCAACTGGCGAATCAGGCGAAGCTGATGAAAAATCCTCCTGTCACGGCCGTCAAGTGCTCTTCTAAAGACAGCCGTGAATCCAGGAGGACACCCAAGTTGCGAGCCCTCTCCTTGGGGGCCAGCGATTCACCCCCAATAGTCAGCGATGGCGTCAACTGACTATATCGAGACGTCGGGAACCACAGCCACTCGGTCTTGGATGGGTTGAGCCTGAGCCTGTTCCTCCCCATCCAGATCCGCATGGCCTCCAGACACCGGGACATCACTTCAAGGGCATCGTTGGGGTGATCCGGGGTGGAGATGTACAGCTGGGTGTCATCAGCGTACTGATGGTACTTCACCCCGAAACCACGGATGATCTCGCCCAGCGGCTTTACATAAATGTTGAACAAAAGGGGCAAGAAGACCGACCCTTGTGGCACCCCACGTATGAGGGAGCCTTGGGGTCGACCTCTGCCCCCTGCCAACACAGACTTCAACCGGTCAGAGAGAAAGGAGGAGAACCACCGTAGTATAGTGCCCCCCACCCCTAACTCTTCCAACCGGTGCAGCATGATACCATGGTCAATGGTATCAAAAGCCGCTGAGAGGTCTAATAGGACCAGGACAGAGGAGCAACCCCAGTCCCGAGCCCTCCAGAGATCATCTACCAACGCGACCAATGCCATTTCCGTGCTGTACCCAGGCCTGAAGCCCGACTGGAACGGATCCAGATCCAGGCTTCTATTCGATTCTCTTTCTGGTTCCCAAAAAATTGGGGGGCAGCAGGGGTATCTTAGATCTAAAACGACTCAACATGCACATAAAATACAAGCGCTTCAAAATGCAATCCCTAACCTCAATCCTGAATTGCATCAGACAAGGAGATCTCCTAACATCCATAGATCTCAAAGAAGCCTACGTGCATATCCCAATTCGGACCTCACACAGGAAATATCTCAGATTCTGTTACGCAGGACAACACTTCCAATACAGAGCCCTCCCCTTCGGTCTTTCCTCTGCCCCCAGGACCTTCACCAAGCTCCTGGATGTGGTGGCGGCCCACCTTCAAGCTCGCCCCATCAGGCTTCAATGTTATCTAGACTGTTATCTAGATATATTGATCCAATCGTCGTCCATTAGGCAGGCAAGACAAGATCTGATAGAAACTATTCAAACTTTGCAGATGCACGGTTTTTCTGTAAACCTAGAGAAGAGCCAGTTAATTCCCTCCCACTGTATCCTTCACTTAGGAGCATGCATAG